CCTCCCGGTGTGTGAAGGGAATACAACTAATAGCGAGTCACCTCCGGGTTGGTTGTTGGTTTTAACTCCAAGGTAAACGTGTCGTTGTAACCCTAGAGCCGGTTTCTCATGGGAAACTGGCCCTACGTCAAGACTCAACTTCAAACTTCAATTTCATTTACTTCAGCAGCGTCAATTAAAAACAAAAGCAAACAATAACAATTAATAAAATTCGTTTGTTTTCTTTGGGAATGAATGGTGTTTGCAATTATTCGCAAAACAGAGCAAGTACATTTTGTAATATTTTCAGAGTTTGATTGAGCGGCATCTTTTATAAAGTTCATCAGTTAGCAGGTACTTGAAATAAAACTACTGCGATATTCTAAAAAAAAACCCAACCAACTAGATTAACTTTTCATTTCCTTCCATCATCCCGTAGGACGCCAAATAAATATTTTCAGAACCGTCAAACTCTCTAACAGAAGATCCTAGCAAACATGAACTTACCAAAAATGTGAAAAACTTTTTCCATGTAGCACCAAGTGAAGAGTGTAGCACCTTCTTGAAATTTAAATATAATTTAGTGGAGACATTCACTCACACCCTCCTTTGGGGTAAAATTTAAATAAACGCCTATAAATAACGCCTATTTTTTAACGCACTTTTAAATATGTTATACCAATTTGGAGAATATGTACTGTTACTTGCAAAATAAAATTTTGAAAATTCTCTTTGATTGTGACTTTTTAACACATTTAGAATTGTGTTATAGGGAACCAGGGCTGGGGCTCTGTAACGAATAGAGATTTTTTCTCTATCTCTATTGACGTCCCCTCCTCTATTGATTTCGAAAAGAGGGAAGACAGCAAGTGCCATAGCGATAAGGATTACGATCTCTATCCGTTACAGAGTTCCAGCCCAGGTATCTGTAAGTTGAAAAAGCTCCTAATGTCAGAGCAATGTAAACTAATATTTAAAATTAATTAATAATCAGGAAACAATGCAACTACAATAGTATTTTCAAATGAGATACCTACAGAATTACAACACTAGATCAGAACAAACTATTTATATACCTAAGTATCTCATTGCAGAATCAATAAAGGATTGAATTTTCCATTAGGATCTACATCTAGGACATTTAACGATTCACCTAATAATATTAAACCTACCTTACAATTATTTACAAAAAGCTTGATGAACAGGTATTTAAATTAAATGTCTGTTTCAGTCATATGGTTTCACACACTACTGTACCTACTTATTTTGTTTCTAAAATTCCATATTTATTAATTGTGTTTAGTGTTAGTGTGATGCATCTGTTGATTTAATTTTATATTTTCCATATTATAATAATATTTTACCTATGTATACCGGGTGTCCAATTAACTAAAAAAGCTAAATCAAATCAAATCAAAGTAAGCTTTATTGTACAGGGTGGCCCGAACACGAGCCTCATCATTGGGATCTCGGAGACCGTAAGAGATACGGGGTCGGTTAAATTATGGCAAAGTTGCGCAATATTATGACCAATAGAATGCCGTTTTGAAATTTGAAAGATTCCAAACACTTCCGAAAATATTCGGAAAAAACCGAAATTTTGTAAAATCGTTTTTATTTTTTCCTGGGCTTATTTGAAGTGCAATTTTAAAAAAAATGGGCAAAATGGCACTTCATCATTGTCACTTTCACCCCTTTAGAAGATGGTGCTACAAAATTTTAAATTCAACGTTTCGTCTTCAGGTGGCCATCATCAACTTACTTTCTTTAAATACGGACCTGGATTTTTTATTTGCAATTTTGTCATCTTTGGACATCCTAAAATCGATACTGTTTATAATTTTTCAATAGCACAGTGAAGAAAGCAGGCCCGTATCTAAAAAAAAAAAAATTGATGATTCCAGAGGAACGAAACTTTGGTAGGTCGGAGCAATTGATTGTGTTGAAGGCCATATGCTCTCTCTTGCACAAAACCAGAAAACTTTTTAAATTTTATTTATTTATTTACATATAAGAAAAATACATTTGAAGTTGAACAGAGTTTAAATCTAAAAAAATCTAACCTAAAACAATTCTCCTGGCCTTCGTCTTAAATTTATCCAGAGATAAACCAAAGAACTCAAGGCCCTCACAGAACTTATTTACATTGGCAGATATTCTATTCACCAATCAATCAAGTTTAATATCAAACTGACCGATTCAAGAATGAAAATTAAGGTACTGTCAATATTTCTTCTTGCTTAAATAAAGGTCTACATGTGTCTCTACAGCCCACGCCACACAGATATCTTATGGCTTTCTTTTAATAAACTTTATTAACGGACAAGCCATTTACAGTAAATAACATAATACAAAAATATATGACGTTATAATATTAACGAAAAACACAAGAACTTAAAATTTAACATTTACGGTACATATAAATACACTGACATTTAGCGCTGCAGACTATTTAACAAATGTTTACAAGTTTTCAGAGACATGCCAAAAAAATCAAAATTGTTGGGTAGCTGATTAGCTTCTCTGCATATTCTAGCCATAGGGCAGAAAAAACCATAATTAGTCCTATGATACTCGCTATGAAAAAGATGCACAGTATGCAGTATAAACACTCATTGAATTGAACTTTGGACAGAGTATCCCCAAAACGCTATTCCATATTATCTCACATGTACTTCAAATAATGAAAAGTATGTCTGTCTGGCTGTGCTAATTTTTCAAGTTCCTGAGAAATGGTTCTAATGATTAGAACCATTAGTAATTTTCTTGTCAAGCAATAATTAATGTGAGGCTCAAACTTCAACTGGGAATTAATGTGCAGATCCAAAAACTTGACCGTGGTTCTTCTATTCTCTAGTGTTTCGTCCTGCAGTCTGATGTCAGTTAAAGCACACTTAAATGTCAGTATATTTGTATGTTGAAGCAAAGCCTGTTGGCATCACACCATCCCTAAAGCCTAGTACTCATAACCGCGAAATTCGCTCTTTTTTGACATTGCTTCGACAAATTGACCTTTGATTCACGCATAAAACGTCAAATTTTCGAGGCAATGTCAAAAAAGAGCGAATTTCGCTGATATGAGTACTAGGCTCCAATCTCCAAAAGATCGCTCTCTATACTGCCTTGAAGTTGGTTAGATTTTCTTTTGTAGTCCATAATGCACTTGTGTCGTCGGCAAATACTATCAGCCTTGCAGTGCAGATACTGGCAGGGAGAGCAAGTCATTAATGTAAATATGGAACAGAATTGGCCCAAAAAGCGAACCCTATGGCACTCCGTGCAAGATTCCCTCTGCTCCCGAATCAACACCATCTGACCACACAAACTAACTTCTTTCCAAACCAGCACGACTCAGTCCCCAGGACACCATAATGACCCATCTTTCGCAGCAGTATCCCATGGTTAAACGTATCGAAAACCTTTGATAAATCAAAGAACGCTGCCGCTGTAAGCTCCCTCTCATTCAAACCAAGGTACAAAACCTAGAAAACTAGAACTTCTTAATTTGTAGAGATGAAAGTTTTGGTTAAAAAACCGAGCAAAAAACTTTGTAAATGGGATGCATAGATGCGTAGATGAGATATAAATTCCTTGCTACAAATATGTCAAAACAACGACGCCCCATCATTGTTTTTCTTTATTTGGATACTACTTTACCATCTAAATTCAGCAATACTACACTCAACAAAATATTGTAAGGAACAAGATTCTATATTTGTCTTTAAATTTTGAGACAGACCAACTTTTTTTAAAAAGATAACATGTGGGTATGTGTTGAATAAATCTTATCAAATTTATCATATTGGCTTTTTTAGCATACTTTGAAAAAAATTTAAAATCTTTTAAAAGTATATTTTGTTCGATTTAAAAATGTATTCAGTTGCATCTTGTTCCCTAGACTATTTTGATGTGTGTATTTCAATTTCCCTGTTCAAAAAAATGTAGGAAATAAATAAATAAAACCACATTTTTCAAAATTGCACATTGCTGAATGAAGGAGGTTACGCAGTAACCAATTAAAAAAAATATATGTTCTTAGGAATTATTTTGTTTAGGGTAAGTTTTGACATCTTACTAAAATAAGCTTTGTATCATTCACGAAGTTGTTTATTCAATTCTCTAATTCTAAAATTGACATATATGGGTGAAATATTTGTGAATAATATGGTTTTATTTATCATTTCCCACATTTCTTGCACAGAAGAATTCAAATACGATACGTTGCTGAATTTAGACGGCTAAGCAGTATCCAAATATGTTTAGAAAAAACAAGATTGGGTGCCATTTGAAAAAAAGTAGGGGTTGATTACTGAGGGATGATTTTGTATAGGGGTAGTTTTAACATATTCTTGAAAAGGGCTGTACATCCCATTTACAAAGTTTTTTGCCCAAAAGTTTTATCTCTAAAAATTAGAAGTTCTATCTCGTTAGGTTAATTGTGGGGTGGAACACCCAGTATAATATGTATGTTATTTTTGAGTATAATATGTAATTTTGTATACATAAGTTATTTCTAAGCAAGGGTTAAGTAATTATAAACTTTTAGGTTTGAAAGAAGTGGATAAATAATTAGTAAATCAGCTTGTTATTCTTATTACCAGTATTTTGAATATTGATTTGAATAATCTTATTTATGTATTAATGATTTTCAAAAAAAAATTAAGTAATTGGAACCTTAGTGCAAATTCTTTTACCAAAGGCTCTCAGCTAACAAATTTGATTCCCAGTTAAATAAGTCAAACTTTTGAATAGGCCAAAGTATGTATGGCTTGAATTCGTTTAACAGATTCGATACCTACCTAATCCGCTAGGGCAAAAGTACTGGCCCCTAAACAGTGATAATTTAATCAGGATTACAGTTTTTGTTTAATACTCTGATTAAATTCTAAGAGCAAAAGTACTTACCGTCATATTAGTATTTCTAAAACAACTTTTCATCAACTTTTGGAATTCTTACAACATTCAACAAATGCAGATTATTTTAAAAACTTTGATAAAACGTATTGTATTGGGTTTTTTAGTACCATAATGGGAGACGAGACTCCAACCAGCGAGACGCCTGTTCTTATGGAAACTATAACAAAGAAGAAGAAAGATGATGAAACTCCAGCTAATGGACCACCACCTTTAATAACAATAATTAAGAAAAAAAAAGATGAGAAACATCGAAAGAGAGATCCCCGTTCATTGGAAAACATAATAAAGAACACTGCTAACATGTCCCTTGATGAAAAGGAACAATATTTGGAAACCATGTACAATGAACTGTACATGGAAAACAGAACCACAACTATGGCTTTGAAAACCAGAGAAAAGCAATATGCGCAGTTTATAAAGGAGCATGAAAAAGATAGGGCAGAATTGGCTAAAAGTATTCTGGCTAAGGGACAACTGGAAAGCTTGTGCAGGGAACTACAAAAACAAAACAAGTTGATAAAGGTAAGAAATATTCTATCTTTTTCTATACTTTTTGCTTCTTTGATATACTGAATGAGAGAAAAAAAATTATCAGAAAATTGTACCAATCATAAACTGGAATAATACCAATACAAATTTAGCTATCCCATTCCTCATTCTCTTATGAATGAATTTATATTTATAAAATCAACTCTGCTCTCGAAAAGAAAATTATAGGTACAGCTAGTGCTCATTTACAAGCATGAAATATTCTAGAAAATATTATAGAATGAAAGTTGTTTTATGATTTTGGTATTTTTTTTTTAATATTAAATCTGGGGATCAACTTTCTTGTAAGAGCTCCATATTGATAATATAATGACTTTTCGAGAAATTATTTTTCCTAGGATTTTTCATTTCTACATCCATGCACTGACTGAAAACATATTTCCTCTAATTTCCCTCTAAAAATGACAATGAATTTGCCAAAAATTTCCCAGTATCTATTACCAAACTTCCAATAATAGTATTTTTTTTATTTTATGTTAGTAAAAAACTTACCTTTGAAAACTCTCTGTGTGTATAGGAAGAGAATGTAGCTCGAATTAAAGAAGAGGAGGATAGACGTAGGGAAGTAGCGAGCACATTCACCGATCGTCTCAACGCCCTCACCAGTCTCATTAATGAAAGTAAAGACAAGTCGCTCAAAGTTAAAGAAGAAAATCAAAATATGAGTCAAAGGTTAACTGAACTCTATGAGCAATATCAGCATCGCGAAAACCATTTAGAAACCATCACTAGACAGTTAGATCTACAGAAACAGCTCTCAGAGACTCAAGCAAAAAAAATGCTCATTGAACATGAAGCCGAAAAACAAGAACTGTTTGCCCGGCAAAGAGCCTTGGAGCTTCAAATTGAGCCATACGAAAGGGAGATTCAGTTACTCCAGGAAAACAACAGGAGCCTTGAAGCCCAAGTTGATATATACAAAAGCCAATATACAGACTTTGAAACAACTATGACCGACAGCAACAAGGTAAGACATTTTGCATTTCCCAATCTTGGGAATATTTATTTTTAATGTAAGGTGAACAAGGCGTATATTCGTGAAACTTTTTTGTTCTAAATTACCAAACATATGAAAAAAACTATTGTGTCGAAAAATTTGACTTGACTTCCCTTTTCATTCAACATTTTGGTAGTAGTTATCATATGCGTTAGGGCACGTTAGGGGCTCACACTGAGGGTCGAAAAGTCAAAAAAAGAAAATTCTCTCAATAATGAACCTGAATACCCAAAATGTCCACCCTGTATTCACAAACACTTGAATATTTGGTGTAAATATTGTTTCCTACCTAATTTATATTCAAGAATAAATCCATATGATGCGAATACTTATTATCTAGGTATTTGAGGCCTTTAAAACAAAGATGTCGAAAATGAGTAAACAACTTCGTACTCTTGAAACAGAAAGAAATGATTTGAAGGAGCGCTGGCAGTCTAGTGTTAATTCCTTAGTTACTCTATCCGAGCAACACATGAAATTGTCCAACGAGCAAAGTGCCCTGAAAAAAAATGTACTGATGCTACAGAAACTGTGTAGACAGCTCCAGGAAGAAAGGAGTGCATTTTTGAAACAACTTAAGGATAACAACATCGAACCTCAACTTATTATTATAGAAGAGGATGGAAAGAGTCAAGAAAACAACGTCAAAAAAGAAACAGATATAGATGAAGTTGAAGGCAAAGTGAGTTGTAAACTGTTTTTGTGATTTGCAGAATGAGGGGTGTTTTTGCTTCAAGATATATACTGGTTAACGAGAGAGTTATGTGCTATTTTTTTATTGTTGATGCTAAAACACCTTGTAATTATTGATTGGAGTCGAATTTTTAGTTGAGGTGTCCAGTAAAAGCCAATCCAAGTGAATAATTATTCAGTAAGCTGACACAAATGGCTATAAATTCGGCTCCATTTTCACTCAATTTTTATTTGTCTACTGAAATCCTATATTTTTACAGGTTCAGGATGGTTGCAGAGCTAAATAAAAAATGAAGTGCTAGCAATACACCTGATGGTAAGCATTTATTTTGAGTAGCAGATGATGTTTTGATGTGCCTTCTTTTTCTAGAAAATGTTGAGCAATGAAGGGATCATCTCAAAAAGCCAGCCTCAACTTTGTGACCTATTGGTAGGATTATTAAATTTCTGAAAAAAAGTTGTGGTTTTTTTATTCACACTATTGCGTTTCTGTAAGGTGTATTTCTTTTAAGACAAAAGAAGTACACAGGGAATTAAAAAAAAAAGCCAGTAGGTATTAAAGAAAAGCAACACGAATAACACAAAGGCATATTAGAAAATAATTTATTTAGAAAAGAAAAATACATTTTGATTCAATCAAGTGTGGTTTTTATAATTTATTTTTGATGTAAAGATAAAGCTTAAAAAAATGATTTAGGCCCCGTTTATTCACGTACTGATAAACTGTTAGGTAATGCAACTTGACACATGAAAACGCAATGTATAATCCTGTTGGTCGGCTAGTTATCCGCCGACCAATAGGATTATAGATTGGTGAATTTATCCTGTATTAACCAGTAAGTTTATCTCGAGATGAATTTGGATATTTGCTCTTGGGATCATTTACCTATCTCTGCCACCATCAAATTACCTACACCTGTAGAACCTACTTCATTAGAAGTTTCTGTCCCAAGTGTTGAAACCTGTGTTTAAAAATCTTTTTAGTTTCATAAACTCGATTATTGCGGGATTTCTCTAGAAGTTTTGCGAAATTTGTGATTGAACTCTTAGATTAAACTGGCCTATAGTGTCCTTAGAATTAACCTTATGAATTGGTGTTACAATCTTGTTACAATTGATATTTTAAATTAGGCCGGGAATTTCATTTTCCAATATGAAATTGAGCAGGTGCAATAGTGCGCCGGTTATCTCGGCTTGTGCTCTTTTATGATTCCTGCACTAATGTCATGCCCAGGGGAGCTGTTATTTTTTAAACTCGCTTCATTTTTAATCAAGTCCTGTTTTGTCACAGGTCTTAGATATTTGGAATTGCTCATGGATATTTCTCTGGTACAAGGTGTTTGCGGTTGCGGGATTTCTTTTTCCATTTCTATTCTTACATTGATAAAACAATCATTGCAAAAATTGAACATTTCCTAATCATCAATAAGTTCTTGCCCGCTGCTGTCCTTGATATTATTTAACCAATTGCAAAAGCCTTTATGGGAAAAATGAGGAGAAACAAATTTTAATGCAATTCAGATACTACAAAGACAATGTAGCACATGAACAATGATAAGACAGACCAATACAGAAACCTTATATGTATAGGGAATTCAAAATTTCAAAACTTGATAAAATATTGGAAGTGGAACAAATTAAACTTTTATACAGGATCATTAATAAAACACAAAAGTCTAACCTTGCGTTCGGTATTTTGCTCAAAGTGTAGAGCGAGCTGAGCGGAGCCGTAATCACGTGACCAGCGAGCGAACGGAGCAGTTGAACGCTGTATAAAAGTACCGGAAATTTTAATAAACGAACGCGAATGAGGCTGCACCTAGTACACTTTTTAAATAAACGAACGGTAAAGTCAAGCTCGGAGAACTCAGACCAAAATAACGAACGCACGGTAATATAAATTTTATAAAACAAGAAACAAGTAAAATAAAATTGAGATATTATATGTATTATGGAACTATATAATATAATATTATTATAGAATCCGTCTAACTGTGTAACATTTTTAATTCTAGTATTCTGAAGCTTCAGGCACAGGCACTGATTAGAGTCATTACAGAATTATTTATTTGTAATTATAATGAATATAAAGTAATAAATAACAAATTATTTTAAAATAAAGGTATAGGTAATAAACTAATAAATAACAATATAACTAATAAACAGTAATTGAGCTGGTAAATAGAAAATATATGGTTTGAAAAAGTAAATTAAAATTTTTCTCGATTTTCATTATATTTATTGACAATAGTTACATGTTAAACTACTTTGTAGTTTCATCAGCAATGGGAAGTTTAAATCCTGATATGAGCCAGAGGCAGAATAGAAAATAATTAGAAAATTCCACACACAAAATGTTTACAAATAGTAATTTCAGTGGGTGGATATAAAATCCATGGTAAGAGAACGTTAATTAAAACTTTACTCCATTTTCATTATATTTATTGACAACAGTTGTACACTGTAGCTTCATTAGACAATGGACTTTCAACCATCAAAGGCGAAACCTAATTTGATTTTAGAATCCGCGCTTGCGGAGCTAGTTTATTTGAGGGCGAACCAGGGGAAGATTTAATCCAGCTATGAGCCAAAGGCAGAAGAGGAAAATATGTAAAAAATTCCACATAAAGAATCTTTACGAGATTTTCCTTTGAAGTTGAACCTGAAGAGGCCTTCAACCATTAAAGGTGAAACCTCATTTGACTTTAGAGTCGATTGTGCTTGCGTATCTAGTTTGTTTGAGGGTGGACAAGGGGAAGAACTGAAAAACTGTTTCGAAGATTCAGTCATCCTTGGTCATGGTAACCTAATAGGTTTTGGTTGTATCAGTTTTGTTTGAGTAGGAGGATATAAAATCCATGGTTAGCAAAACGTAAATTTAAATTTTACTTGATTTTAATTATATTTATTGACAGCAGTTACATGTTGAACTACTTTGTAGTTTCATCAGCAATGGAAAGTTCAAATCCTGATATGAGCCAGAGGCAGAATAGAAAATAATTAGAAAATTCCACACACAAAATGTTAACAAATAGTAATTTCAGTAGGTGGATATAAAATCCATGGTAAGAAAACGTTAATTAAAATTTTACTTCATTTTCATTATATTCATTGACAACAGTTGTACACTGTATTCATTAGACAATGGACTTTCAACCATTAAAGGCGAAGCCTAATTTGAGTTTAGAATCCGTGCTTGCGGAGCTAGTTTGTTTGAGGGCGGACCAGGGGAAGATTTAATCCAGCTATGAGCCAAAGGCAGAAGAGGAAAATATGTAGAAAATTCCACACAAAGAATCTTTACGAGATTTTCCTTTGAAGTTGGAGCCTGAAAAAGCCTTCAACGATTAAAGGTGGAACCTAATTTGACTTTAGAGTCGATTGTGCTTACGTATCTAGTTTGTTTGAGGGTGGACAAGGGGAAGAACTGAAAAACTGTTTCGAAGATTCAGTCATCCTTGGTCATGGTAACTTAATAAGTTTTGGTTGTATCAGTTTTGTTTGTAGGATATAAAATCCATGGTTAGAAAACGTAAATTCAGATTTAACGTGATTTTCATTATATTTATTGACAACAGTTGCACACTGTAGCTTCATTAGAAAATGGACTTTCAACCATTAAAGGCGAAACCAAATTTGATTTTAGAATCCGTGCTTGCGGAGCTAGTTTGTTTGAGGGCGGACCAGGGGAAGATTTAATCCAGCTATGAGCCAAAGGCAGAAGAGGAAAATATGTAAAAAATTGCACACAAAGAATCTTTACGAGATTTTCCTTCGAAGTTGGAGCCTGAAGAAGCCTTCAACCATTAAAGGTGAAAGCTAATTTGTCTTTAGAGTCGATTGTGCTGGCGTATCTAGTTTGTTTGAGGGTGAACAAGGAGAAGAACTGAAAAACTATTTCGAAGATTCAGTCATCCTTGGTCATGGTAACTTAATAAGTTTTGATTGTATCAGTTTTGTTTGAGTAGGAGGATATAAAATCCATGGATAGAAAACGTAAATTTTGATTTTACTTGATTTTCATTCTATTTATTAACAACAGTTACATGTTAAACTACTTTGTATTTCCATTAGTAATGGAAAGTTTAAATCCTGATATGAGCCAGAGGCAGAATAGAAAATAATTAGAAAATTCCACACAAAATGTTCACAAATAGTAATTTCAGTAGGTGGATATAAAATCCATGGTAAGAAAACGTTAATTATAATTTTACTTCATTTTCATTATATTCATTGACAACAGTTGTACACTGTATTCATTAGACAATGGACTTTCAACCATTAAAGGCGAAACCTAATTTGATTTTAGAATCCGTGCTTGCGGAGCTAGTTTGTTTGAGGGCGGACCAGGGGAAGATTTAATCCAGCTATGAGCCAAAGGCAGAAGAGGAAAATATGTAAAAAAATTCCACATAAAGAATCTTTACGAGATTTTCCTTTGAAGTTGGAGCCTGAAAAAGGCTTCAACGATTAAAGGTGAAACCTAATTTACTTTAGCGTTGATTGTGCTTGCGTATCTAGTTTGTTTGAGGGTGGACAAGGGGAAGAACTGAAAAACTGTTTGGAAGATTCAGTCATCCTTGGTCATGGTAACTTAATAAGTTTTGGTTGTATCAGTTTTGTTTGAGTAGGAGGATATAAAATCCATGGTTAGAAAACGTAAATTCAGATTTCACGTGATTTTCATAATATTTATTGACAACAGTTGCACACTGTAGCTTCATTTGACAATGGACTTTCAACCATTAAAGGCGAAACCAAATTTGATTTTAGAATCCGTGCTTGCGGAGCTAGTTTGTTTGAGGGCGGACCAGGGGAAGATTTAATCCAGCTATGAGCCAAAGGCAGAAGAGGAAAATATGTCAAAAATTCCACATAAAGAATCTTTACTAGATTTTCCTTTGAAGTTGGAGCCTGAAGAGGCCGTCAACCATTAAAGGTGAAACCTAATTTGAGTTTAGAGTCAATTGTACTTGCATATCTAGTTTGTTTGAGGGTGGACAAGGGGAAGAACTGAAAAACTGTTTCGAAGGTTCAGTCATCCTTGGTCATGGTAACCTAATAAGTTTTGGTTGTATCAGTTTTGTTTGAGTAGGAGGATATAAAATTCATGGTTAGAAAACGTAAATTTAAATTTTACTCGATTTTCATTATATTTATTGACAGCAGTTACATGTTGAACTACTTTGTAGTTTCATCAGCAATGGAAAGTTTAAATCCTGATATGAGCCAGAGGCAGAATAGAAAATAATTAGAAAATTCCACACAGAAAATGTTTACAAATAGTAATTTCAGTAGTTGGATATAAAATCTATGGTAAGAGAACGTTAATTAAAACTTTTCTCCATTTTCATTATATTTATTGACAGTTGTACACTGTAGCTTCATTAGACGATGATCGACTTTCAACCATCAAAGGCGAAACCTAATTTGATTTTAGAATCCGTGCTTGCGGAGCTAGTTTGTTTGAGGGCGGACCAGGGGAAGATTTAATCCAGCTATGAGCCAAAGGCAAAAGAGGAAAATATGTAAAAAACTCCACACAAAGAATCTTTACGAGATTTTCCTTTGAAGTTAAAGGCTGGAGAAGCCTTCACCCATTAAAAACAAGACCTAATTTGATTTTATAGTCGATTGTGCTTGCCGATCTAGTTTGTGTGAGAGCGGAGAAGGGGAAGAACTGGAAACTGTTCCGAACATTCAGTCATCCTTGGTCATGCTAACTTAATAAGTTTTGGTTGTATCGACAATGGAAAGATTTAATCCAGATATGAGCCAAAGGCAGAAGAGGAAAATAAGTAAAAAATTCCACACTAAGAATCTTTAAGATATTTTTTCAGTTTTTATTTTTTTTAGTTTATAGTTATAAAAAAAGAGGTTTGTATGAAATATACCTACATTGTCTAATCAATACTTTTTATGGGTACATTAAGGGGTAGACACAATGTCAAGTGGCCTCTGGACATTTGTGACTGTTTAAATGTAATGATATACATAGTAATGATACTAGATCTCAAGAAAATATTTATCAGATTGAGTAACAACAAAAATAGGTTCAAATAATTGAGTTAACACAAGCGAGTGAAGTATACAATCTGAAAATATTAGAAATATTAAAAAAATAATAAATTAAATATAATATATAGTATTCTAGAGCTTCAGCCACTAATTAGAGAGTTATTTTATTTGTGGTCAACAGTTACAATATGTTTGAATACTCTCTGTAGCTTCATGCTACATCAGCAATGGAAAGTTTTAATCCGGATATAAGCCAGAGGCAGAATAGATAAATAATTGAAAAATTCTACATACAAAGAATCTTTACAAACAGTAAGTTGAGTAGGTGGATATAAAATCCATGGTTAAAAAACGTAAATTAAAATTTTAACTTTTTTTCATTTCATTATATTTATTGACAGCAGTTGTAGACTGCGGCTTCATTGAACAATGGAAAGTTTCAATCCAGATATGAGCCAAAGGCGGAACAGGAGAATGAGTACAAAATTCCATACAAAGAATCATTACCGAGATTTTCCTTTGAAGTTGGAGGCTGGAAAAGCCTTCAACCATTAAAGGCGACATCGATATTTGATTTTAGAGTCGATTGTGCATGGGCATCTAGTTTGTTTGAGGGCGGACAAGGGGAAGAAACCGTTCCGAAGATTCAGTCATAACTTAATAAGTTTTGGTTGTATCGACAATGGAAAGATTCAATCCAGATATGAGCCGAAGGCAGAATAGTAGAATAAGTGAAAAATTCCACACTAAGAGTCTTTAGGAGATTTTTTCAGTTTATATTTTTTTAGTTAATACTTATAAAAAAAAAGAGGTTTGTGTGATATAAACATTGTCTAATCAATATTTTTTATGGGTACATCAAGAGGTAGACACAATGTCAAGTAGCCTCTAGACATTTGTGACTGTTTAAATGTAATGATATACATAGTAATGATACCAGATCTCAAGAAATCATCTATCAGATTGAGTAACAACAAAAATAGGTTTAATAATTGAGTTAACATAAGCGAGTGAAGTATACAATCTGATAATATTAGAAATATAAAAAAATTATAAATTAAATATAATATATAGTATTCTAGAGCTTCAGCCACTGATTAGAGAGTTATTTTATTTGTGGTCAACAGTTACAATATGTTCGACTACTCTCTGTAGCTTCATGCTACATCAGTCCGGCCGGCTCCATCTGAACCGGAGCTCCATGCCGGTAGAACACTTTTCTCATAATTACCGCTGTACTATAAGTAACTTCTTCTAAACCGTAACAAAACGAGATTAGTATAACTCCAAATATTGATATATCAATACTTTTGCTGAATCCGACCATAAGATATCCGACTGTGGTCACACCAACGCAAATCGCTACTCGTGTGTTCACTACGAACTTACGGAGGGTAATAAAGGAAGTACCAGTTTCACGAGTAGGGCCGGAAGAATGTCAGCCAACAAAATTGTTCGAGCTGATATGTAAGCGCAATTTTGTATAGTGCTCAGAGCTGTGCGGTACTCGAATACAAGTACTCTTCAGCTCCTCGCTCGTCATCCTAGTATTCCTTTCTACAGCACTTAAGCCAGCACGATGTAGATGTTTGGTATGTAATAGTAAATTACTTGTGTTGTCAAAATTATCACATTGATACCCTGCAATACCGTCAGTATCCATGTTTGTTTTATGTGCCATATCGAAACAGACGATCGTGTTGTAAAGACTCCCACTTGATATGTAGCTTGCATCCATCTATTCTGGGATTTTAATGATATGGGAGTGTCAGGAAACTCAATTAATTCAAATGTGTCCTGATAAATGAAATATTCAAATAGGTAAATGAGATCAATATTTATCATGTATTTCATTAGACCAGGAATAAGATAAAAATTTCCTTCTCAAAGACATCTCCTCGTTTTCGAGTATAACTTGATCGTCCGGTTGTCCAGCTTTTTCAGTGGATTCTTGTGGGGGTAAATGGTTTTGGTAACAATATCCAAAACGCCAGGGATGTTATGGCTGGTATGATCAGCATTATCAGTAACGTTGTTTTCATACATACAGCGAGTATGATACGGCTCCTATTACTCCGGCTCCATCTGAAGCGGAGCTCATGATGATAGAATACTTTTTTCATAATTAGCGCTGTAGTAGAGATAAGTAACTTCTCCTAAACCGTAAAAAACGAGATTAGTATAACTCCAAATATTGATACACCAATACTTTTGCTGAATCCGACGACAATATATCCGACTGTGGTCACACCAACGCAAATCGGTACTCGTGTGTTCACTACGAACTTACGAAGGGAAGTACCAGTTTCACGAGTAGAGCCAGATGAATGTCAGCCAACAAAATTGTTTCAGTTGATATGTGAGCGCAATTTCTTATAGTGCTCAGAGCTGTGCGGTACTCGAGTACAAGTACTCTCCAGCTCCTCGCTCATCCTAGTATTCCTTCCTACAGCACTGAAGCTAGCACAATGTAGATGTTCGATATGTAATAGTAAATAATTGTGTTGTCAAAATTATCACATTGATACCCTGCAATACTGTCAATATCCATGTTTGTTTTATGTGCCATATCGAAACAGACGATCGTGATGTAAAGACTCCCACTTGATATGTAGCTTGCATCCATCTATTCTGGGATTTTAATGATATCAGAGTGTCAGGAAACTCAATTAGTTCAAATGTGTCCTGATTAATGAAATATTCAAATAGGTAAATGCAATGAACTATAACCAAAAACTGGAATGCTAACACATAAGGACGAACGTGAAGCCTAGTGCGGCTGCTGCGGAGGGGATACCTGTTTTTGTCGCACTCATTATGTTAAATGGCGAAAATTGCTTCCAACACGTATTCCAATTGATGAAACCTGTGAAGGAAAATATGACAAAACTTTCGAAAACGTCATATGTCAGCGAGCAACAGAAAAAGACAACATTCCCCGTTGTGGCATCTGTCTTTCATGGCTTCATTTTTTTGGCAGATATGGCACTGTGTGCGCATTCCAGTTTTTAGCTCTAGTTCATTGGGTAAATGAGACCAATAGGTATCATGTATTTCATTAGACCAGGAATAAGATAAAAATTTCCTTCTCAAAGACATCTCCTCGTTTTTGAGTTTAACTTGATCCTCCGGTTGTCCAGCTTCTTCTCCAGTGGATTCTTGTGGGGGTAAATGGTTTTGGTAACAATATCCAAAACGCCAGGGATGTGATGGCTGGCATAATGATCAGCATTATCAGTAACGTTGTGTCCATACATACAGCAAGTATGATACGGCTCCGATTACTCCGGCTCCAACTGAAGCGGAGCTCCTGATGATAGAATACTTTTTCCATAATTAGCGCTGTAGTAAAGATAAGTAACTTCTTCTAAATCTTAACAAAGCGAGATTAGTATAACTCCAAATATTGATATACCAATACTTTCGCTGAATCCGGCGACAATATATCCGACTGTGGTCACACCAACGCAAATCGCTACTCGTGTGTTCACTACGAACTTACGAAGGGAAAGAAGGGAAGTACCAGTTTCACGAGTAGAGCCAGATGAATATCAGCCAACAAAATTGTTCCAGTTGATATGTGAGCGCAATTTCTTATAGTGCTCAGAGCTGTGCGGTACTAGAGTACAAGTACTCTCCAGCTCCTCGCTCCTCCTAGTATTCCTTCCTACAGCACTGAAGCTAGCACGATGTAGATGTTCGATATGTAATAGTAATATGCTTTTGTTCTGACAATTATCACATTGATACCCTGCAATACCGTCAGTATCCATATTTGTTTTATGCGCTATATCGAAACAGACGATGGTGATATAAAGACTCTCACTTGATATGTAACTTGCATCCATCTATACTGGGATTCTACTGCTATTGAAGTGTCAGGAAACTTAATCAGTTCAAATGTGCCCTGATTAATGAAATATTTAAATAGGTAAATGAGACCAAAAGGTATCATGTATTTCATTAGACCAGGAATAAGATAATATTTCCTTCTCAAAGACATCTCGTTTTCGAGTTTAACTTGATCGTCCAGTTGTCCAGCTTCTTCTTCAGTGGAATCTTGTGGGGTTAATGGTTTCGGTAACGATATCAAAAAGGGCAGGGATGTGATGGTTGGTATGTTCAGCATTATCAGTAATGTTGTTTTCATACCTACAGCGAGTATGATACGGCACTCCGGCTAGTCCCTTCAGCAATGGAAAGTTTCAATTCCTATATAAGCCAGAGGCAGAATAGATAAATAATTGAAAAATTCTAGATACAAAGAATCTTTACAAAATATAGTAAGTTCAGTAGGTGGATATAAAATACATGGTTAGAGAAAAATAATTAAAATTTTAACTTGAATTTCATTATATTTATTACAACAGTTGTAAACTGTGGCTTCATTGAACAATGGAAAGTTTCAATCCAGATATGAGTCAAAGGCAGAACAGGAGAATAAGTACCAAATTCCACACAAAGAATCATTACCGAGATTTTCCTTTGAAGTTGGAGGCTGGAGAAGCCTTCAACCATTAAAGGCGAAACCGATATTTGATTTTAGAGTCGATTGTGCATGCGAATCCAGTTTGTTTGAGGGCGGACAAGCGAGTAAAGTATACAATCTGATAATACACAAGCGAGTAAAGTATACAATCTGATAATATTAGAAATATAAAAAAATCATAAATTAAATTATAATATATAGTATTCTAGAGCTTCAGCCACTGATTAGAGAGCTATTTTATTTGTGGTCAACAGTTACAATATGTTCGACTACTCTCTGTAGCTTCATGCTACATCAGCAATGGAAAGTTTCAATCCCGATATAAGCCAGAGGCAGAATAGATAAATAATTGAAAAATTCTACATACAAAGAATCTTTACAAATAGTAAGTTGAGTAGGTGGACATAAAATACAATGTTTAGAAAACGTAAATTAAAATTTTAACTTGAATTTCATTATATTTATTGACAACAGTTGTAGACTGTGGCTTCATTAAACAATGGAAAGTTTCAATCCAGATATGAGCCAAAGGCAGAACAGGAGAATAAGTACCAAATTCCACACAAAAAACCGAGATTTTCCCAGTGGCGGATTTAGAGGGGGGCGCGCGCCCCCCCCCTATTGAGCGACGCAACAACGAAATTTTTAACGAAAACACAAACATATTCATCAAGCATTATCCAACATGAAATTCCATATGGTTTTTGCTATTTTTCCAAATTTTCAATACTTTTAAATACGTTTGGCAGCAGCGAGCTGGGAGCGAATCGACTGCGGATGACGTAAATCCGCACCAACTTTGAATTTAATCTATAATTGAAAATTCCAATTAAATTTAATCTCCGATTAAATTAAATGTTGATGTCAAATGATAGTTTATGAAAATCTAAGACAGGAATGTGAAATCGGTTTTCCTCTGAAATTAACCGTTCAGGTTTTACAGCCTGTCAAAGTTGCAAAAAGTCAATGTTCAACTGTCAATATTTCCAAAACAGTTGAACTTAGGTATAGGGTATATCCACAGCCCCCTACATTTAACAAGCCATGAAGTTAAAAAGGCAACACCGCAATCTTACCGCCAAGTGGTGCTGGTGGTGTTTGTTTGTATAAATATATATTTTTTATTTTATTAATATGAATCACAAAAAATACATAATTTATTGTACTAAAGGGCCAAAAACAGTAATTCAATGAATAATTTAACTATTTGTGTAAATAAGAACAGTAAATAATTGATTTAAATGAATATATTTCTAGAGTCTAAAGTGTTATAGGCCTATGTTTCAGTATGTCTTTTGAAAATCTAACTTTTTCTTTCTTCGGGATTTTTTCGGAAGGCAAGTCCATTCAAATACTTGAGCTGATTTTCGAAAATAAGAGGTACCTACTTTTAAGAGTTGGACGTTTTAGTTTGAACTCTCGAACTACGCATTTATCCTTGTTTGTTTCAAATCTAATTATTTCGGTTTCTTCAAAATGTTTACAGCACACCACAGAATTTTTCGTTATTGTATAATCTCGGGTATAATTATCTTGGTGTATTGCTTTCATCCACATTTTTTGCACTTCAGAATTTTTTTGGAAATAAAAATGTTTATTGCATTTCTTCAGTTTTTAAGGAACTCCTAATAGTTCGATTTGCACCCAGGAACACAGTAGTTTCATGGCATCTGGAACAAGTTTAAATATCTTAGGTAATATATCGAGACCTATGCTCTTGCAGACAATTATTAATATTGTTTTTATTGTTTTACCTTACCTTACCTTCATTTTTGCTCCTGTACCCATTTGCTAAAAATTTGCAATCAAAGCACAAAGGAACAGGTATCAACTAAATATGGGCAATATATTGGTGTGTTTCTATCCACTTTTTCGTCAATAATGCCCATAAAAATACTAAATTGCAACAATACTAAATGAAAGCAATACACAGAAACACATAACCCAATAACAAAATAGCACCATACGCGACGTTGCCGTCATTTCCAATTTCATGGCTTGTTAACTATAGGAGGCTGTGGTATATCACATGAAATCTGCTCAGAATTTTACGTAGAATCCAAATATGCAATCACATACAGGGTGTTTTATTTGAAAAAAAGAAAGTTGGTCTAGATAGCAAACAAACCAGAAGTGACACAGGCAATACGTTTAAGTAGAATTGTGGGAAATATTAGGGACATAAAGCTACTTGAAATAATTCATCGGTATCGGTATCCGTAACGCAACTAGATACGTTGACAAGCGAAAACGCTGTTAAAGCGCTCCCTGTTCCGGTAAACGTAAACGCATTTCATAACCTAGACATTTTTGTCTCAAAACTTCGGCGTTTTTATATCTAACCTTAAAATTGTTATTTTTTTTGCGATAGAGAAGCAAGCAACATGTGTATGGCCGACCAAATGTTAATTTTTCAATATTCGCCTTACTCAATCGTTTGGTGGTCGTTTGGTGGTCTTTGGTATCCCACTTTTAGTATTTGGTGGTAATTACTTAGGCAGTAATTAACAATTCAAAATTTCATATGACGTTGGCCGACATAACCTGATTCTAATTTATTTTTTGGCCCATTTATAGTCAAATCGAACGGAAATCGTTTGGTGGTCACGAATTTACCGAATTTAACGTTTGGTAGTCAATAATACCGGAGATATTAATCAATTAAGATTGTTTTCTGATATATTCTAATTATTCGTCGCGCATGCGCATATATTATCTGTTTTTCATTGAGCCGCCTCGATCGCGGCGTTGCCTACCTATTCTATAATTTTCAATCAAATCAATTATTTCATTACAATCAACGAATAATTAGGTAGGTATCTATACTTACTCGAATACTGAAAATAGGTATACATCGTGATTTACTTAGCCCACCGCCAGTTCCGGATCGCAACGGCAACGCCGCGATCGAGGCGGCTCAATGAAAAACAGATAATATATGCGCATGCGCGACGATTAATTAAAATATATCAGAAAACAATCTTAATTGATTAATTACTCCGGTATTATTGACTAACAAACGCTAAATTCGGTAAATTCGTCACCACCAAACGATTTCCGTTCGATTTGACTATAAATGGGCCAAAAAATAAATTAGAATCAGGTTATGTCGGCCAACGTCATATGAAATTTTTAATTGTTAATTACTGCCTAAGTAATTACCACCAAATATTAAAAGTGGGATACCAAAGACCACCAAACGATTGAGTATGGCGAAAATTGAAAAATTAACATTTGGTCGGCCAAATACATGTTGCCAGAGAAGCACTAAACACACAAGAAACTCAAGAAAGTATAAACTAAACAAATTAAATCAACCCGGAAGAAAAGGGAGGTTATATTCATTTGAAATTTGACACATGCGTCAGGAATGTCAAGATACGTTACCGATACGGATACCGCGAGAGGGCCGTAACGTTACGTTGTACGTACGGTATCTCGGCCTCCGTATCGCTTCTGCACATGCGCAGTACGATACCGATACGGATACCGAGCAAAAAATACGGAAGCTCTATGTCCCTAATTTACTGAGCAACTTTCATTAAGGTCACTTTTTCGTATACGAGGTAATTAGAAAGTTACAGGTATTAAACGCGACTTTTTTGCCACTCTGTATATTTAAGTCGTTTTTTTATTATTTCTTATCTGAGCCTGAGGCCCTGATGGATCGCCCCCCCCCCTAGAAGGAATCCTAAATCCGCCGCTGGATTTTCCTTTGAATTTGGAGGCTGGAAAAGCCTTCAACCATTAAAGGCGAAACCGATATTTGATTTTAGAGTCGATTGTGCATGCGGATCCAGTTTGTTTGAGGGCGGACAAGGGGAAGAAACCGTTCCAAAGATTCAGTAACAACTCAATAAGTTTTGGTTGTATCGACAATGGAAAGATTTAATCCAGATATGAGCCAAAGGCAGAAGAGTAGAATAAGTAAAAAATTCCACGCTAAGAGTATTTAGGAGATTTTTTCAGTTTTTATTTTTTTTAGTTTATAGTTATAAAAAAAGAGGTTTGTGTGAAATATACATTGTCTAATCAATATTTTTATGAGTACATTAAGGGGTAGACACAATGTCAAGTGGCCTCTGGACATTTGTGACTGTTTAAATGTAATGATATACATAGTAATGATACTAGATCTCAAGAAAATATTTATCAGATTGAGTAACAACAAAAATAGGTTCAAATAATCGAGTTAACACAAGCGAGTGAAGTATATACAATCTGAAAATATTAGAAATATAAAAAAAAATAATAAATTAAATATAATATATAATATTCTAGAGCTTCAGCCACTAATTAGAGAGTTATTTTATTTGTGGTCAACAGTTACAATATGTTGTTTGACTACTCTCTGTAGCTTCATGCTACATCAGCAATGGAAAGTTTAAATCCCGATATAAGCCAGAGGCAGAATAGATAAATAATTGAAAAATTCTACATACAAAGAATCTTTACAAACAGTAAGTTGAGTAGGTGGATATAAAATCCATGGTTAGAAAACGTAAATTAAAATTTCAACTTGAATTTCATTATATTTATTGACAACAGTTGTAGACTGTGGCTTCATTGAACAATGGAAAGTTTCAATCCAGATATGAGTCAAAGGCGGAACAGGAGAATGAGTAGAAAATTCCACACAA